TGTGTGGCTATATATAGGAAAAATAAGTTAGGACCAGTGTGTGTGTGTGTGTGTGTGTGTGTGTGTGTGTGTGTGTGTGTGTGTGTACCTGTCCTGAATTCAGAACCTGGGCGCCGTCAAGGACAGAGGCTATATATAGGAAAAATAAAAAAATAAGTTAGGACCAGTATGTGTGTGTGTGTGTATGTGTGTGTACCTGCTGTATATAGGAAAAATAAGTTAGGACCAGTGTGTGTGTGTGTGTGTGTGTGTGTGTACGTACCTGTCCTGAACTCAGAGCCTGGGCGCCGTCTCTGAGCTTTTGTGTTCAAGGCCACAGGAACCACAGCTCCATTTCTGGCATTTTAGGCAGTTTAATTGGAGATAAGAATCTTCCAGACTTTCCTGCTTGGGCTGGCCTTGAACTACAGTCTTCAGATCTTAGCCTCCTGAGTAGCTAGGATTATAAGCAAGGGCTACCTACCATCATCTGGCTAGGATTGACTTTGGGTTTTAAATATCTTGCCTGTGTTTGTGTGTGTATATATATATGTGTATACATATATATGTGAATGCTATTGTAAGATAATAAGATAACAAAGCTTAACCTATACTGCCTAGATTTATTTCATTTTTGAAGAAAAATAGTTAAAATTGTTGACTATGAAAGTAGATTTTGTTATTTGAACTATTTCTGCATTAACTGGACTTAATGCATGTATGTAACGTCTGTGTGGTGTGAAGTTAAATTTCTGTGCCAAAAACAATACAAAAATGGTGTCATTAATGAATAAGAAAAAGGGTACCCACATGTGGCCTATCATTTTTTGAGCTAATTGTGGTTGTTTTGGGGGGAGTCGATAGAAAGTTCAGGACCATCTCGGGGTTCCGTCTCCTGTCTAGTTCTGTGAGTTGGCAGTGACTTTATATCCCATCTCTTCTGTACATTTAGATTTGCAAATCTTTTGGGAGTTGTTGTGTTTATCTGTGTTGTTTTGCTGTTGGGAAGCTGCCTTGCACGCGGTCATTGAACTTCTGTTCCCACACACGATTGTTTGGCATCCAGGAAAAAACAGAGAAGGAAGCACTGCAGCTGGAGAAGAAGGGGTTCCGAAAGTAAACATACAGGGCTCTTCTGGGATTCATCCAGGGGCAGACGGCTTCCTTGACTTAAGGAGACCAGAATGGAATCAGGAAAAAGGGCTGACCTCATACAGAGGATGAGGACTCTAGCCTCCGAAGGCAGAGCCTTTCTTTGTGTGTTCCCCTTGGGTTTTTCTGGATTGCTTCTGTGGCCCTCTGGATGGCTTCTTGGTCCTCTAACCTGATTGAATTCACTCACCCCAATGAGGGAATGCCTAAAGACGCCTCTTGCTCTCTCCAGGTGTTTTCATTTTTCAGAAAGGAGGCTTATTTTCCTATAGCAGCAAGTGGTCACACGTCAATCGAAATGGGAAAACATCCCAGGTGATAATGAAGGAAAGCCAAGACAGAGAGAGTGCAAGAGAACCTCCACTGGTGTGGTCTTCAGAATCATCCATTCCATACTTAACCATTTTGGTCAATACTAAAAAGTAAAAGTGAACATTTCAATAGCAGTGCAAGTGAGCATGGGCTCTTTGGGTTGCCTGTGGAATTGTTCGGCTTTTTTTTTTTTTTTTTGGTTGGTCATGGGGCCTGAACTTGGCCTGGGCGCTGTCCCTCAGGTCTTCAGCTCCAGGCTAGTGCTCTACGACTTGAGCCACAGCACCACTTCCAGCTTTTTCTACTTATGTGGTACTGAGGAATCGAACCCAGGGCCTTATGCATTCACTCTACCACTCTAGCACTTCCCAGCCCTAGTTTGGCTTAATTTGGGCCTTGTTTCCAGTGTAATCATTACTGTCAAAACATTAGAGAAGAAAGAAAAATAAAAAACAGATAACACATGTCGTGACCGCCTCGACCCGCAAGGATGACGCGACAACAGGTTCTTCTCTCAGGCGGTTTATTCAGGACCTAGTTTACAGCTTCTTCTCTCCTGCTTCTCCTGCCCGCTTCTTCCTGCTTCTCTTTCCCTCCGCCCCGCCCTCCGGTTATAAGCCCCCTGGATGGCCAATCCCGAAGCGCTACGTGGCATATACCGATAGGGCTGCAAACACGGAAGCAAACTAGGAGCCAAGTCATAGCCATATAAGGAGTTGTTTTTTACAGAGAACACTCGTCACCAGGAAGAGGAAGGCAGGCGGGAGCCAGCGCCATCTTAGGTCGGAGCCGCACCTCGTGGCCCCGCCATTTTTGTGGCTGCACCTTGAACCAAGGAGCTACAATGTTGCTTTTGCAGCAGTCTTTGGTCGCGGCTCCAGCAGCTCTCCACAAACACAGAGGCTCTACCAAAAACATAACTTTATTCCCAATAATGTCCCACCCTTTAGGGTTCTAAGAGCAAGGCCCCTGTCTAACAGAGTGCTGACTGTTAAATTTGGCAAATCTCATAGCCATATGGACCTGTTTTCTCACCTGAGAAATGATTGGCCTCTGTGTTCTATTCAGTGCAGACATTAGGACAGAACCTTTGTGCAGAACCCAGGGATGGAGAGTCTTAGACTGAAAGTAGATGAAGAAAGTGAAAGAGAAAAGATATTCCAGAGTTTTACTTCCTAGCACTCCTCAAATGCACTTGAATAAATTACTTTTAAGTTCTTGGTGGATTTTATGATTTAGTGCTAACCGATCCCCCACCGTTATACTTTGTGTGTGTGTATGTTGACCTCTAATGCCTAGGATGGAAAATAGTATACATAAGAGATTACTCCTATCTATATTATAGTGAGAAGTCCACAACATTCATGCTTTCTACGTATTTTTCACAATATTTGCTTGATGAGGGATGTTGGACCTTAGGATTTATCTCCCACAAAGGAGGCAACTAAAAAGGAGGCAACTGCGGGCTTGAGAGATAAACTCCACTGTGAGAGAAAGATGTAGACCCTCAAGTCCGAACTCCAGGGGTCCATGCCAGGTGGGAGAACTGGGGGCCTGACCCTGCCAGGTCAGTGAGCGTGAGCGGCACTGAGCTCTCTCCTGATGTGGCCTTCTTACCCAGAAGCAGCAGCTGGCTTGTGCCTGGGTGCTGACTGCCAGTATAGGTGAGAGTGCAGCTGTGGAGAGAGGGGCACGGTTGGGGTTGTCTCTAGAGCAGCAATGCTCAGCAGGGCAACTGTTGACAGGTCTGTAGAGCAAGCAACTGGAAATGACCTGCGCATCTTTCCTGAAGCGGCTCAGTGGCCCTCACTGGTGGGCGGTGAGAGGGAGGCTCTCCGTGACTGCTGAAGCCCAGGGCACTTGCAGTGCAGCATCCCTTCTGCCTGTCGCCTTGTCTTCATGAAATGGGACTTAGGGTCGCTCTGAGACTGTCAATCTGTATGTCCTTTCTCAGCACATGTGACATGATAGAAGCGGCACAAGGGTTTGATTCAAAAGCAGCGTCACCTGTATGAATTTAGGAAGCTTGCTCATCTTTCACAAGCCGGAGTTTTCTGATGCAGGCAATAGCAGTTGAGCCAGCAGAGTGCCGCGGGGACTGCGTGAAGCCGTGGCACGAGGCACCTGCATTCGTCCTTAGGATCTGATGATGTGACTCACTCCTCATGTCTGTCTTTTTGTTTCAGTGGCTCCCTGTCAGAAAGGCGCTTTCTGTTTGCCTCCAATGGTAAGGACCATGCTGCTTTTTTTAAGAGAATTTGATCATTGAAAATTCCTCGGTGGTAATGAGGCAGGGATGGTGGTGCACCTCTTTAATCCTGGCACTTGGGAGGCAGAAGTAGGAGGATCAAAGGCATATTCACAGCCAGACTGGGATAGTGAGATGCAGTCAAAACAAAAACAAAATAAAATAAAATTCTTCACTATGAGTTTATTCCTGCGTATCCCACACACAGATTAAATAGTTGGAATAATTTCTTTTCTCTAGGTTACATGGTTCCAAATTTTGCCTGAAGAATTTATAAGACAATAAGCCTCATTAGCATTAAGCAGAAGTTTGTTTTTTTTAAATTTAACCTCTTTCAGGATTCTTCCAAAAAGAATGACAAATATGTATGAAAATGTGGCAGTCAAAGCCATTATTTTGTATGCTAAATGCTAATTTAAAAGAGAAGAAAATGAAAAGTAAAATAAGAGAAGAAGCTTTCAAATTTTACCAAATGTGCCAGGTGCCAGTGACTATGCTTGTAATCTTAGCTACTCAGGAAGCTGAGACCTAAGGATCATGGTTTGCAGCCAATCTGGAAGAAAAGTCTGTGAGATTCTTATCTTCAACTAACAAAAAAAAAACAGAAGTAGAGCTTTGACTGAAGTGTTAGAGAGCTAGTCTTGAGCAAAAACACTCTATGGCAGCACTCAGGCCCTACGTTCAAGCCCCAAGACTGGCACACACACACGCACACACACACATACACACAAAACACACACACAAATATTACTAACTGATTTGTGGTTATTTTGAGTAAGTCAGTTGAACATGATGAGTATAGAAAAATAAAATGCTAATTATTTTAGTTTCTTCCTCATGAAGTATACTTCATGTGCATATCCTCTCTCAACATAATTTTTTAATTTTTTTATTATTATAAGGGTGATGTACAGAGGGGTTACAGTTACATAAATATTTACTTTTAAAGTAAATATTTTATGGAGAACAATATGCCTGTTTCTTCTTGGCTCAGGAAGAGATGTATGGCCTTGCTACTTCAGCATTGTTTAAGACATGCTGTTGTTCAGGTCCAGTGCATGCATATTATTAGTAGAGTGTACTTATTTTTAGCATCCCTGGTCAAATCTACTTTTCAAGGGTACAGTGAATAGGAATCCCTCTCTAATTCTTCTTAAACAAAGAAGCATTGTGTGTGTGTGTGTGTGTGTGTGTGTGTGTGTGTGTGTGTGTGTGTGGTGTATGTGTACTGCTTCTAGGGCTTGAACTCAGGGTCTATGCACTATACCTGAGCTTTTTTGTTCAAGGTTAATGTTCTACCACTTGGGCGATGGCTCTGTTTCCAGCTTTTTGGTGTTCAATTGGAGATTTTACTGCCTGGGCTGGCTTTGAACTGTGATTCTCAGATCTCAGCTTCCTGAGTAGCTAGCATTACCGGTATAAGCCATCCATGCCTGACTAAGAAGCATTTTAAGAACCACTGTAGTGTGCTTTAATATGGGTAACATAGAAAGTTAATAAAGAAAATCTATAAGGGAGACAGAAATGTCATTTTATAGGCAACAGACTTTGATATCTATGAAAAAGAAAAACAGCACTGTACTACAAGCGAATTCAAATACAAGTATTAATGACAAAAACTAGTAACTAAACATTCGATTTGATATCAGAACAGAGGTAAATCAGCTAAGTATTTTTATATAAAATGAATTACTTAAGGCAGTACTCTGAGTGAGTCAGCAAACTCTTCAATTCTGGTCATCTCCTTTTGCATATCATTATCACTAATGTGGTTTTCCAACATCCCTTCTCTCTCAGGGAATGATTCATCTGTGCCCCGTGAAATGGTTTCAGAAACTGGTGTTTCAACCGAGAGAGAGAAGATAAGGCAATCACAAAGCCCATCCCCTCGGGAGAAACGCCAACAGATAGACCAGTTTCTGTTTCACGGTTCTTAAGAAAAGTATAACTGAGGGGCTGGGATAGCCGGGCACCAGTGGCTCACGCCTGTAATCCTAGCTACTCAGGAGGCTGAGATCTGAGGATCACGGTTCAAAGCCAGCCCAGGCAGGAGAGACCCTGAGACTCCTATCTCTAATAAACCACCAGAAAACCGGAAGTGGTGCTGTAGCTCAAGTGGTAGAGTGCTCGCCTTGAGCTGTAGAGCTGAGGGACAGTGCCCAGGCCCAGAGTTCAAGCCCCATGACCGACAAAAAAAAAAGAAAAGTATAACTGGTACCCATCTAATTCAGTTCTTAATAGCGCCAACAAGATATATTTTTCTCTGTCATATAAAGAGGGTTGTTGAGAGGTATTTGTACATGCTTACATGTCATCTGACTATAATTATATGATGTAATGCCTTGAGTCGAGAAAGATTGACAGCAAACTTGTATGTGCTTTTAACACTAGAAAAATAGTTGATGGAAAAATAAATTAATAGATCCATGCAATGGAATATTTTACAGCTGCAAAAAATGTGTTACTAGTATAGAAATACCTCTAATATACTAGGAATTAAAAAATAAGCACAGAACCATCTATGTAGACATTTTTGCAAGAGAAGGAAAAGAAAGAATGAACCTATATATTCACTTCAATATCTTTAGAAGAATGTCAAGAAATAGAATCTCGGTTCCTATGAAGGAGAGGGAAAAAAAGGAAGGAGACATTTTACTCCATATCTTTTTATACTTTTTGATTTTTAAACATGTAAGTGTGTAATATATCCAAGTAATGTTCAAGTAATGAACACTAAAAGTATATTCTTCTCAGAATAGAAAATATTTTACATATTAAGTTTATAAAATTTGAAAAGATTAGAAAAATATAAATAAAGAAACACAAACTCAGCCATAGCTCAGCATCCAAACATGCTCACCATATTCCACTGTGTCCAGTCAGGTGTGTTTATCATTCTAGGTTCAAGACAGACATGGTGGCATCTTACCTACTAGATTCTATCCCATCGCACACATTGTCCACTTTGTGTTGTATGATAAGCCTTTTATAATGCTGTTAGGTAGTTGAAAATGCAACTGTTAATATCTTTATACCATGTTTGAAAATCCAGATATAACATTATTTAACTATTCCCTTCCTGTTAGATAACTTAAGTTTGTCAGTTTCCTCAGACTTTTCACTCTTAAATAACATTACTGGCATTTGTCACTTATATAAATTTGTATTCGTCTAAATTTCCTTTCTTCCTGTTCATGAACTATATATTCCCATTTTTTATGTATGTGTGCCAATATTCAGGGCCTCCCTTTTGCTTAGCTTTTGTGCTCAAGGCTGGTGCTCTACCACTTGAACCACACCTCCAGTTGTAACTTTTTGCTGGTTAATTGAAGATAAGTGTCTCAAACTTTTTTTTTTTTTTGCCTTAGCTAGCTTTGAATCCCAAACACCACCACCACCACCCTCAGTTCTCAGGTTTCTATGTAGCTAGGATTACAGGCTTGAGACATCAGTGCCTGCCCCACATACCCACTCTTTATCATTCCTTTATTTTCTTTCCAAGGATCACCAAAAACAAAAAGTGGAAGAGGAAGGACTTACTTTTCATAGTTCCTGCAAGCCAGGAGCTACCACAGAGGCTTAGAGTAACATCTTTGTAAATGAAAGGGCGGTAGGAAAACCCAGAGTTTTGTGAAGCCACGTGGAATGCCAGTGCTTCCTGCAGTCCTCCGGCTGCATTTCCCCCCAGTCCACAGCTTCTAAACTCTGATAATTAGAACCTGACAGCTCCCCAATCTTCTGTGTGGGCTCAAGTCCAAATTCATCCACCTTTGAGGGAAATTGAAAGCTGTCACCAAGCTAGGAACTCCACACTGAGCCTTCATCTTTTATCTGTCCAAATAATTCCTGGCTGAGTGAGAACTTAAACCAGCTCCCCTTGATCCTAACTTTTGGAGCCCAATAGAGTTCAAGAAGCTCAGAGAGCTGGGTGCTGGTGGCTCAAACTTGTGATCCTAGCTACTCTGAAGGCTGAGATCTGAGAATTGCAGTTCAAAGCCAGCCTGGGCAGAAAAGTCCCAGTAAGACTCTTATCTCCAATTAACCCCTCAAAAATTGGAAGTGGAACTCTGGTTTAAATGGTACAGCACTAGCCTTGAGCAAAAAGAGCTCAGGGACAGCACCCAGGCCCTGAACTCAAGCCCCACAACTGACAAAAAAGAAAAAGTTCAGAGAAAACAAATGTTAGTCTCTGAGGCGCCAGAGGGAAACAGGAAGAGAACATGGAAAGGATGGACAGGATAGACAGGAAGTTGTATTTCCCTGAACCTAGCCAGGATTCTGAATCCCCTTCTTTTGCTTGTCAATATCAGTAAATGCCTAGCACGTATTCATTTTCCTTGAGCATTAAACGGTTGAAGCCTTCTCAGATCTGTGTTTGGTTTCGGGCCCTCAGCTTTGCTTGTTACTCATTCAGGTTATGACATGCTGGCTCTCCCCTTCTCTAGGATTAAATGTTACAACTGTGGCCATCCCATTGGTGCTCCTCGTTGCCCTGCTTCTGGCTGGAATGGGCGTCTTTGCTGTCTATAGAAAGTATGTGAGTTTACATTTTTTAATCCCTTCTCTAATTATGTAAGCAATTGTAAACCCAATCACATTTACTCTTCAGATATTCCTGTGTAGAAAAGCAGATGACTTCTCTCCAGATAAAATGAAAATTGATATTTTTAAAACAAGGGGAACAGTGATAGAAGAAATTAACCAGTGTTCACTTATAAGCAGTTTTTGTCACTTAGAAGCTTTTACTCAAGGCTTCTAGATGAGCACTTGTTGCAGAAGTCCACACCTAGGAGCAGACATAGTCTCTCTTCTCTCTTTCATCCACCTTGGATAGGAAAGCCTGGAGACCTGGCTTCCAATGCAGTCACCATGGAGCCCGGTCCTTCTGCCTCCCCGAGCCTCAGTTTCCTCATGTACTAAATAAAGGATTTAAGCATCATGAGGACTGAATCTTTTTCCCAGACCCCAAACCCCACATTCATCATAACAAAGAATAGGACATGGGTTTAAACAAAAAAAGAAAATTGTTCTCAAGTTTTCCTCTTTTGTATATTTTAAACAGCTTCACAACTTGTATATGTATATATTAATCCAAGAAGAATGAAGAATTATTTGCCAACATGAGTGAAAGTTACAAAGTCTCTAGTTTTTGGGGTTTTTTTTTTTTTTGGTTTGGGGCTTGAACTCTGGGCCTAGGCACTGGCCCTGAGCTCTTCAGCTCAAGGCAAGCACTCTACCACTTGAGCCACAGCACCACTTCTGGTTTTTCGGTGGTTAATTGGAGATAAGAGTCTAACTTTCCTGCCCAGGCTGGCTTTGAACAGCAATCCTCAGATCTCAGCCTCCTGAGTAGCTAGGATTATAGGTGTGAGCCACCAGCACCCAGCTAAAGTCTCTAGTTTTTAAGCCTCAATTAAAGCTAAAGCATGCTTAGTGCATTTATGTTAAATGATTTTAGAAGACTTCCACAATTTTGGAGTATAGAAAATAGAGATGAAATGAGAAACATGACTGTGAATAACTGCTGCTGGATATTATTAGTTGTGTGAATTATTGAGCAAATAGAATAATGATGCATTGCTTCTTGATATGAGAATTTTGTGACCTTTATTATAAGACAAATTTATATACATACACATATAATATATATATATATATATATATATATATATATATATATACCCGTATGATCCTGACTTAATAAGCTTATGGCAACTACAGTCTCATCTAATCCTCACAACAGTCTTATGAGGTAAGTACAGTTATGATTCTCATGTTATGCAAGGAGACAGAGGCAGATGAATTGGCTTGTAAGTACTCACTAGGACTTTTTATCTTAATAGGAGGAAGAAGAAAGGAAACCCATATATATCTGCTGAGGCTCAGAAAACAGGTTGGTTAAAAACTTCATCTGCAGTTCTCTTCTGTCTTTCAGGAAGTGAGAGACACACAAGTAGGCTCAGTGGCCAAGTGCTAAACCTAGTATGTGGAAAGCCTTGGGTTTGATTTCCAGTACTGGGGGGAAAAAGTGAAAGGGCTCAGTGGCCAAGTGCTTTTTTTGGGGGGGGGGAGAAGGCGCTACTAAGAGTTAGGCCTCCACACTCTCTTTAAGGAGAGGTTACAGTAGCCTCCATCAGTAAACTGAATGGAGTCCAAGTACAGGGAATGTAGCTCAGGGGTAGAATATGTGCTTAGGGTGTGCCAGGGCCTGGTTTTGATACCCAGCAGTGCAAATACATAAGTAAACAAACATGAGTGTAGTCCAGTACTGGGCTTTTTTTTTTTTTTTTTTTTGCCTGTCATGGGGCTTGAACTCTGGGCCTGGGCTGTTCCTCAGCTCTTCAACTCAAGGCTAGTGCTCTACCACTTGAGCTGTAGCACCACTTCCAGTTTTCTGGTGGTTTATTGGAGATAAGAGTGTCACAGAGTTTCATGCCCGGGCTGGCTTTGAACTGCAATCCCCAGATCTCAGCCTCCTGAGTAGCTAGGATTACAGGCGTGAGCCACTGGAGCTTGGCTGGGAGCTTCCACCTTTAGACATCTCTCTAGACCCCTGTTAACTCATTAGTTGGGCAACCTGTGTCATAAAGATTCCCTGAAATTTGTGCATGCTCCTGCTTGGTCCTCTCCTGATTTTGCCAGAGAATACAGTTGGAGGCCTAAAGGTGCTGACTTAAACCCCATCTGTGGTGTCCTTTCTGGGTCACGAGTGCCATGTCAGTGTAGCTTATGGAAGATGGCTCATGGAACAAAACCCTGGGACCTGATGGGTTTGCAAATACATTTTTAAAGGCCCGTGGAAGACACACTAGATGCACTGTTGGCTATTTTGTTATTGGTCGCCGCATGCTGTCCTCCACACGTGCACCTAATGAGTTGTGGCTGTGCCTTTATCATTACCATTGAGGAATATTCATGAAGTGCCTGTGTTATATTTATGACATACTGATTTGCTTCCTGTTATCTTTATTCCAGACTGTTGGAAACAGATTAAATATCCATTCGCCAGGCATCAGTCATCGGAGTTTACCATCAGCTATGACAATGAGAAGGAGATGCCACAAAAGTTAGATCTCATCACCAGTGATATGGAAGGTAAGTGCTATATCTTGGGACTACAGGCTGCTTGTGGGAAGGAGCGACAGGAGGAAAACAGGGCTAAAATCCTTCTGTAAAGTGCAATATGTGTAAAGTACATTCTGTGCAGTTATAAACTGACACTGAGATATGGCTTCACTCAGCTGAGCCTGTTACACCTGCTGACTCATAATGGCATTCATAAATCTTTGCATGGCCCTGAGTACTACTTGTCTCAAGAAACCTTTCATTTATATGTTACCAAGATTTTGATAAGAGCTCTGGGAAAGAGGGACTAGAAAGGTAAATACTGCCCCTGCCTGGCCAAGGAGGTAGACAAGGGAACTCTCCCGTGCTTGAGTGGTTGCAGAGGCCCTGAGAAGCTATTGCTTTTGCCAGTTTTCACTTTCTGATTTTCCTATTTTTTCCCTTTCAGTCTGTCTCCAGAGTTATCTCAGACTTTACCGCTCTTACATTTCTATAGAATCAAACTATACTTTCTAGCAAATGATTAACACACACACTGGAAACAGGTTCAAATCCTAGCTCCATTATCTGTTACCAATATGCCCTCCTGGTTTCCCATCCGTAACATGGAAGTAAGTGAGACCTTACAGGATTTTCATGAGAAGTTTTATTAACCAAGTCAGGGGCCCAGTGGCTCACACTTATAATCCTACCTACTCAGAAGGCTGGGATCTGTGGATCACAGTTTGAAGTCAGTACAGGTAGGCAAATGTAAGAGACTCTTTTTTATTAAAATATTTTTTTATTGTAAAGATACTATAGAGAAGGGTTACAGTTATATGATAAGAAACTCTTATCTTGAAGTAGCAAGCAAAAAGCTGGAAGTGGGGATGTGGCTCAAGTGGTAGAGCTGCAGCCTTGATTTTAAAAAAAAGCTAATAAGAAAGCAAGGCTCCGGGTTTAAGCTCCAGTACCAAAAAAAAAAAAAGTTTTTAATCTATTTCTGACAGTCTTCGAATAATGGCTGGCACAGATTCAGAGTTCAATAAATATGAGCTTTTCCATTGTCTGATCATCGCTAGGCTCAGACCTATTGCTTTAGTCTTTATTTTCATTAAACCGTTGGCCCTCTGTCTCTGGCCACATCAACCTATTTTCATGATTGCTCTTTTTTTTCTTTTTAAACGATTTGCCTTAGTTATGCAAGAGAGGATTTCATGGTGACATTTCCAAACATGGATCCAAAGCATTTCAGTCAATCTCTCTACCCTCTCCTTTATTCCTCTTCCTCATTTCAAGAGGTTTCATTGTTTTAACAACATACATCCAACATCCTCTGTTTCCTGATTGCCCTACATCCTTTTACCTCCATTTCCCAAATGCAGCACTTCAAAGGCTACTTTGAGGCCTCCTCCAAGGATGCAACCTAGCAGTTCTCTCCCTTCTTTCTCTGGGTTCTTCTAGCCCTTTGAGACTTCCTCCCCGAAGCCCCAGGACGAGTTCTTTCATTCCCCGGGCCGGAGGCACTGTGGGGAGTTGAGTGGCGCCCACACCAGCACCCCCGGCGGGCCATCAGCCGGCTCAGCCGCCCTTGGTGGGGGCTGGCCAAGGGCTGGCGCGCCAAGGATGCTCCTCTTTACTCTCTTTTGGTTTCAGATTACCAGCAGCCTCTCATGATTGGCACGGGCACAGTCACGAGAAAGGGCTCCACTTTCCGGCCCATGGACACGGACACCAAGGGGGAGAGCGGGGTGAGCGCGGAGGACGGCGGCCACTACGACTGTCCTCAGCGCGCTGGCGCCGGCGGCGCGGGGCAGCACGAGTACGCGCTGCCGCTGGCGCAGGCGGAGCCCGAGTACGCCACGCCCATCGTGGAGCGCCACGTGCTGCGGGCGCATTCCTTCTCCGCGTCCTCCGGCTGCGGCTACCGCGTCCCCGGGCCCCGGCCTGTCCACAAACACTCTCTGTCCTCCGGTGGCTTCTGCCCGGCCGCGGGGGCGCAGGGCGGGGACTATCAGATGCCACCCGGCCCCAAGCCCGCAGACGGGGACTACGACAAGCCCCAAACCAGCAGCTTCTTGGCTGTTGAAAACAGAGACCCCGCCTCTCCAAAGCCACAGGTGCATCCTGAGTTGAATGATGGTTATTCATCCCCCAGAAACTGCCTCACGCCCCTCCACCAGACCGCCATGACGGCTCTCCTGTGAACACGATGTGCACGGCGCCTGCCTGGTGCCAAGCCGGAGGCTTGTCGCGTCACTGATTAGTGTGTGCGTGCGCCACGCGCGCTGTGACTCAGTAAGGATCCAGGAGACAGCGCTCCCACGCTGTTTACACCAGTGGTTTTTGTTCTGACCCTTGGGGTGAGAGCCCGCTGGCTTGTGTAAGGCTAGAAACAAACAAAAATGGACATTTGTCACCTGGCATTTTCATTTTTCTGTGATACTGAGCTCCTTGAGTGTAAAATGTGCAATCTGTACAGAGCTGTATTTAAACAATTAAAGTAACTTAAGTTCACTTTGTCAGATTGTAGTTCTGCGCAAATTTACATGGGAAGTGCCGCTGTTGCGTAAAGCTGTAGTAGTGTTCTTGTTTTTCAATGTGTTTATCTGATACTGTGTCAGCAGCAGGTCTGTCTTAAAACTCAATCTTCCTATTGTTGTGCCTGCCTTTCCTTTCCTTTGATAACTAACACTTCACAGCATTTTTTAACATTCTTCCCTGGAAGAAATGAAATTACTTGAAGTACTGAAAGCACACTGAGGTAGTGTTTTAGCAATTGGGAATTAAAAACAAACCGGCCTCTGCCTGTTTGCTTAGATGCCACTTGCTGTGGCTCAGGAGCTGAGCATCTGTGCCCTGCAAGGGACTCTGGCCTAGCAAATGTTGTACAGCTTTCATGTGCTGAGCCTTCCTTCTAGAACTCCAAGCCAAATGCTGAGACTTATTCAGCTACTTGTAATGAAGGCGACACAGCAATTGTTGTGGAGTTACCATCTCTGGTTTTCTGTGCCCAAGAATAAAAACACGGCTGAGAACCAGGTGCTCAAAAGGCTGAGACTTAGGATCCGTTCAAAGGCAGCCTGGGCAGAAAAGTCTATGAGACTCTTATCTCCAATTAATCACCAGAAAAGCTGGAAATGGAACTGTGGCTCAGGCGATAAGAGCTCAAGACTTGAGCAAAAAAAAAGCTCAGGGACATCATCCAGGTTCTGAGATCAAGCCCCAATACCAGCACAGACACATAGACATGCACACAGACAAATATGCTGAGGTCAAAAGTCTACAGTTCATTCTTCTCAGAAGTGGAATGTATTAGGAACTTTCTTGTCTCCAGGAAAATCATTTGAAATGTGTTCTTATGACAGTGACCTAGTTCAAGACTAAATAGAGCTTTTTTACTAACATTAACTGAGTTTATGAAAAACATTTTTTTCCTAAGTATTTTTCTACAATATTCGAGTAGCCCAGATCTCAGCTGTACCTTACGCTGTATTTTATATTTTATCTGAGTATACTTTGTGAATTAACTGTGGGGATTTACCTCTTTTGCCAAAGAGGAAAGTATATCTTGCATTTTAATAGAAAATAAGGACCAAAAAAATCATTGCCCAGAAAATGTGTTTTAACCCTATTTGTGTGGCTCTCACTTCCTGTGAAATGTACATATGTGAAAGCATTGAGGGTGCTGGCGGGTCATAGCAGACTGCTGATTATTGCAGAAGACTGTTTACTTCATGGAGTTTACATGGTTTCATGTTGATACCAATTGTGTAATAAACTATGTTAAGTCAGAGTGCCCTGTCTTTCACTGCAGCTCCGTGTGCTGGGGACTGAGAGGGTCATTCCTGTCGCAGTAATGAAATTAAGGCTTTTTTTTTCTTTGTTAAAAAGAGTCTCTCTTCCTAGCACATTCTCTCTTTTGAAACTCAGAGATAACCTGGTACATGCCTTCTGGCTTTATAATAGGTAACACTCTAATGCCTGGTCACCTAGGTAATGACTACAGGAGGTGTGTGTGTGAGGGGCGGGGTGGGGGTGGGGGACGGCAGAAAAAACCTGGCTCAAACTAGATGAAGCCAGGGGCTGTCCTTACCTGGACCTGGAAAACTATCTGATGGGCATATTTTAATGTCAAGAGGGTCAAAACCTCCACTCTCAGATCACATTAATGCTACCATCTTTTTTTGAAGATGTGTTCTATGAAGAATGATATTGTTTACACATGCCCAGAGCAGCGATTATTTCCTTAAATTGCATCCAGTCACATTTCCCCACACTTCAGACCCACCTTAGTTTTCCTTCCCATAAGTCCTTATAAGCTCTTTGGAGAGGTGGATTTAAGTGCCTCTCATGCTTAGCTACTTTGTGAATTAAATCATTTCTCTTGCAAAATGCTTTGCTTTTAAGGCTCAGCCTACTGGGCCAGTTGGTGAAGATGGACCTGGTTCAGTAACAATCCTCAATAAGAGGACAGCTGGTACAGAGAACAGGCCATGGGGTAGAGGCAAGTGTTCATTCTAGACCTGGATCTGCCACAAAAGAGGTGAGAAATCTTCAGCTAATTATGTGACACTTGTTTCCTCAAGATCATGTTAATCTGTCTTCCTCTTCCAAAGGATACTGACTGAGAATCAACTGAGACATTTATCAAAATATTTGTTCTGTAATGGGCTTTATACCCATCTAGTTTTTCAGTGGACTTTTTTTTGGGGGGGGTCCAGTCGTGGGGCCTGAATTCTGGGCCTGGGCGCTGTCCCTCAGCACGTCAGCTCAAGGCTAGCGCTCTACCACTTGAGCCACAGAGCCACTTCTGGCTTTTTTCTTTTTGCATATGTGGTGCTGAGGAATCGAACCCAGGGCCTCATGCAAGTAAGGCAAGCGCTCTACCACTGAGCCACCTTCCCAGCCCTTTCAGTGAACTTTTCACAGCATTTTAATATTAAAACTTTAGTACATAAGGATACACTTGGAAGGAGAGCACAAGTGGCTCACACCTATAATCCTAGCTACTCAGGAGGCTGAGATCGGAGGATTACAGTTTGGAGCCAGCCTAGGCAGACAAATATACAAGATACTTAGCCTTCAAACCAGAAAAAAAAATCCAGAAGTAGGAGGGTACTGGTGGTTCATAGCTATAATCCTAGGTACTAAGGAGGCTGAGATTTAGAGATTGTAGTTTAAAGGCAGGCCCAGAATTTGAATTGTAGCTCAAGTGGTAGAACACTAGGCTTCAGGGGGGATAAAAACTCAGAGACAGAGCCCATGGCCATGAGTTTAAGCTCCAGGACTAGCATTAAAAAATAATGAAGAGGTGAGACTCAAGTGGTAAAGTACCACGTGAGTCAAGTGATGGCAAAGTCCCTGCGTTCAAGCCCCAGTACAAAAAGGAACAAACAGGCAGGGACCTACAGCCCTCCTTTACAGGAGAGCTGGCTTCTCCCTCACATTTCTTACTCATCCTAGAGGTCTAACCATGACAAAAGAGAACAGGACTTCCTCTTGGCATTTCTTCAAGATGCTTGGTAAAGGTGAATTGGAAGGCCTGATAAAACACACTGCTAAGCTGAAACTAGCAGATAAGAGCAGAAAAATAGATCTTTCTCTTTCCAGGTTTTGTAACATTAATATCTACATCCTACCCAGTAGCATGGATTATTACATTCGGTCACTTGTAATAGTTGTTATAAGATACCTGCTCAACAAGCAAGACTATATTGACTACAGACACTGCTCTGGGTTTTTCAATTGTTACTTAAACTTCCATTGAACACTTGTAAACAGCCTACAAAATGTCTAAAAGGGTATGAGGAGTTGCTCTAGGTTATTTTATAATGCAGTGAGTTCTTAGCAGAAGATGAAATCTGTAGGCACCATGAATAACTATATGGTCTTTCCTAAATATGTCAATTTTCTTTGAACAATTACAGCAGTCCAGATGTGGCTACCAGGCTGACCAGGCTGGAAATGTTGATCTTGCACTCATTCACACACCAAGTAGTTATCCCAACACCAACACTCCGTATTGGACAGAGAACATGTGGCCTCTCTTCAGGATCTGGGAGCAGTTTGAATGCTGCTAATGGTAAGCTAGGGTGAGGAAAATGTAAGGTTTAGGGTGAAAATGAAACTTTTTTTTAAATTTAATTTTATTTTATTTGTGAACATACTGTACAGAGGGGTTACAATTACATG